TGTGTGTGTGTGTGTGTGTGTGTGTGTGTGTGTGTGTGTTCGAGTGTGCACTCGAGTGCACAAAGTGCACACGTGCATTTTGCACAGAGGATCTCCTCACTGTCCCAGCCGCGTGTGCAGCTGGCCCCACCCTGTTGCTTCAGCCCTTCATCTTCCTTATTCTCCATCGCAAACCCTCTCATCTGTTACCTACCACCTACTTACTACAGTCTGTCAGTCTGTTGTCTGTCATCCCTCACCCGTCTATCATCTACCTACTGTTCAATGCCTGACAATCAATGAGTTTTCCTCACTCTGTTTCTTTTTCCGCCCCTCTTTTTCCCTCTCTGTCTCCTTTTCTATGTTCCATGGATCGAGCACCCGACCAGAATGTCAGTCTAAGAATAGGAACCTCATCTAGACCACAACTGCCCTTGCCACTCCATAGACAATAAATGAGCATTTGTGCAGAAATATAAATCACCACACACATATTTGTTCAAAATAATTTATTTTAAAATACATGTATTTGTGTGGAGAGACGCTTCATCTAAAGAACATTCTGTAAGCAGTCAGTGTGCAGTTGGGGCCACGAGATGGACACACATCCCTGAAGATCGGATACACCTCAGAGCCCCTCGCTCCACCATGGCCATGAACAGTGTCTGCTGAACTGATCAGAGTGGAGGAATTTTCACACACGCCCCATTTTCTGTGCTGCTTTCAATATACCAGCTACATACAGGAGGCTCCTTAACCCCTGACCCAGCAGTTCTCATCTCTAGAAAAATCAACCAAACAATAGACCAAAGCCTGGTCTGTGGTGTTCCCTAACTTTTGGGATGCAAAGACACGCCCAGGCATTTACTGTGAAGCACTGAATTCAGAACCAGTGAAGCACACAGCACCTTCCTCCGTCGCCATCAGACGCACAGAAGGATGACCAGTGGCACTGAGGAGTGAGAAATGCAGCAGATAAATTAGGAGGTGGCTTCGACACGGGTTTGGCTTTCGTATTAACCTATTTATATAGTTGGACAAGGTTTAAAGCCAGACTGGCCTAGAGTGTCCAATCCTCTACCTCGGCCTCCTGAGTGCTGGGATTACAGGCATGTGCCACCACACCTGGTAGGAGATGATGAAGTCTGAACATTGACTATTATAATTACAGTGTTTATTATAAATTAAAATATTTTAAAATAATGACAGTGCTTAGCAACCAGTTTGCAGGAGCTGAATCCAGTCACGCCACTGGCTATAAATGAAATATCTAGAAAAAGAGCAAGGTCACTGGACCAGGCTTGGAAACCAGAGGGTATGACTTGCAGTGACGATGAGGCCAGCTACCCAGTGTCCAGGAACCGACTCTGTCTTTTTTCCATCCTCCTTATGCGGCCTCTGACCTGAGCCATTTGGTGGACTCCAGCAGACTGACCCCTTACAATGCCCCCAAGGAGGTGCCCTGTGTAACACAGTGAGCAGAAGCCCCCAGAACTCACTGAAGAGCCTCATGAGGGAGGTGGGGTAAGTCAATACATCCTGAGGGGCACAACTCTGCCCATTCTGCAGGTGGAAAAATTGAGACAAAACAAGCAAGTCAATAGCACCCAAAGTAGAAGTCACAACCACCACCAACTGAGTCCCTCCAAGTCCTTTCTTCCTTCAAAGCCCCCTGTCCTACCCTGGCACTTGTCACATGCTGAGGGCCAGCTCTTGCATTCCAGGGTGCCAGACTCTCATATCTAGGTACATTTTCTGCTAACAAAGCTTCTGTCCCAAGACCACATGAAAGGGCCCTCACTGCGTTTCTGTCCCTGCTCTGAGACTTCCAACCCTGTGGTGTGAGGAGAGATCTTAGGATCTTAGCCTAGTCCAGGTTTCTGTGGGACCCTTGCATAAACTAAGGCCAGGGTCATAAAGCTATCTCAGCAACAGCCTCTTGTCCCCTCTCAGAGTCCCAGTACCCGATAAATATCCTGAACAAGAGGAAGGGAGTGACCAAAACAGGCTCCTGATCACTAAGACCCTGGCAAGTGGACAGGAAGGCCGAGACCCTTCCTTCCGGGTCATCTGAGAAGCCCTTGGTGGAGACACCACAGAGGATGTCATCATAAACATTGCAGACAAGCCAACTCCACAGGGACACCGAAGCAGGAGCTAGATCTTCCAGAGTCCTTGGGGTCTCACACTAAAAATGAAGAGTAGGGGGTTCATCTCTCACCCCAGGAAGAGGCAGCCTTTAGGGCAGGGATCACTGTGGAAAGAAACCTAGATCATGAGTTCCAGGCCCCAGCAGACAGGAAACTGGAGCTGCAGAAACCAATATACCAGCACCTTCCAAGCAAACGGGACCCTCAGGAGGCCGGAGAGACCTCCAGGCGATGGTACTGGATACTGCTGGGGTTCTGCCGGTGGCCAAAGCACAGAGGGAATCTGTCAAGGAAACGGTATGATCAGAGGGCAGTAAGCCTGGGGCCTTCCCTGGGCAGGAAGCAATGGACGTCAAGCCCCCACCCTGCTCTGTCCCTTCCTGATTCCTTCCTAACATGCATACCCCAGGTCTCCAGCCTGTACAGCTCCACCGGTTTGCTGTGTCTCCATCCCAGCCACTGTGCTCTTTGTAAACTCAAAGCCAGACCCTTCCATGTCCCTGTGAGGACCTCAGCCCACCATCAGAGCCACACTGGCCTGCTGTGCCTCTCTTCAAACATCAGCATGGCCATCACTCCAGTCAGGGCCTTTGCCCTGCTTTTCCCTTCTCCCAGAACAGTCTCCCTTCCCCGCCAGCTCTGAAGCCACTGGGCCTTTTCTCCCCACTCAGGTAGCAGCTCAGTCAGGGCTGCCCTTGAACTCTATTTGGAGCATTCCATAGAGTGTCACTGATGACCGGGGTGTGCCTGCCTCTGTTCCAGGCCCCAGAAAAAAGCACTGAAGGCGACAGGACTCCCCCTCCCCTGCAACCAGGGTCACCATGTATCTGGGAAATTCTCAATATAACTCCCTGCAA